ACTTTCATCGCTAAAAGTGGTAGTTATAGGTTTCAGTTCTGAATTATTTCAAATTGAAAAGCATCTTCGGTTCAATCTTAAGACTCCCTAAGACTGTACATACCTATAAAAATCAATGCATTTTTTTAACTGAACCAAGAGATCATAGTCTACTTAGTTTATGTTAGAGATTTCAATCTCTTTACAATATAATCTATGATTTAGTAACTATCTATAACTAACTAAAATAAATTTTATGTAATTTATCTTTCCGTATACAAAGATCATCATGTGGTGGTGTCCAGTCCCAACTATCTAATATTTTTTGCCTCTTACGAACTTTTAATATTCGTAACTCAGTAAAGGCATTCTTCTGTTTATTGATCGGAAGTTATAGTGTCTGGACAAGTTTACATGTTCATACGGGCAGACATACCTGAGCTAGGACGTATTTTTCAAGCGGAAATCGATTACGACCACCATAGGGACAACTGTTAAGATTTTACGGTTATTTAGATATTTGCTACTCAGTTTAGGAAGACAGTTTGAAACTGATCTTTGTGACAAGTATACATTGCACACACCTGAGTTACACAAATAAAATCGACTTAAGCATATATGCCACTATAGAAGGGGAGGATTCGCTCCGCTTCCCTTCTTTTGTTGCCCATTAGTGTTAAATTTTAGTTATCCGACTACAGAAAAAATGAGAATTTGAAATGCACAGATCAGAAACTCATGTACTCCCATTATACATGTTAGCATGAATACGGTCCATGTAACGTTTCTTTTTTGTCCAAATATGCACTATATAAACCTGAAAGATACGAATCAAATCAACATATTACCCTCAAAACCCATACATATTCATAAGTGCTACACCCTTTATTGTCCAGCACGAGTTAAAACCTGATTTTTGGATTTATTTTCACGATAGTGATTGTTTAGACCGATATCTATCGACTTCCCATGCTGGTTAATGATGCACAATCCTATACACCTCCCCCAAGAACTACGTGAAGTTCTGGGTCAGATTTTACTCAGGATAGTGCGCAGCAGTCCATTTTAACTACTTATGGTTGTAAACGATGGATCTCGAAGTTTGAGTACTTTGACACGTTGCCCGTATTCAACCACAGATAACTTGGAACCATTCCTCTCTTACTATCAAACCATCAATTTGGTCAAAACAACAAACTGACCAATGAAAATATTAAACTAAATTTATTAATGTACCATGAATGCCCAGTCATCGCTTATTTCAAAGGACTTAAACAATAACTATACTGGGAGTAAGTTTGAAAAAGTGTAAAATCGGTTAAAACAAAATATGCCAACAATGTATTGAGATCATTGATGCCCGATCTAAATAATATATGAAGATATAAATCTTAACACTAAGTATCTTAATCAATAATGGCTAAAACCATTGGATATTATCATGGTTCGAAATCGATCGAAATGATATATTCTGTAGCCTAGTATCATTGCACATATTCACCATCTAGAGTTGTGTTGTTTTGTTTTTTTCAGTCGATTCTTCTCAAAGTAAAACTATCGATCTATTACCAGATATTGATGAACAACAACAATTCAATCAAAATAATCATATCAATTTACCAATTATTGAAACCATTCAAGGATTAAATGAATTGCCTAAAATCAATAAAAAAGGTTATCCATCTGGTATTTATTATTTTAATGGTTCCATGCATTTCGATTTAAACAAATTTCATAAATTTCATAAATTACAACGATTTGACAATCAATTATTTACAATCAATTTTTGGATGAAACATTCACCAATATTTAATAAACAATATAATGAAAAGAATTTACTGAATAATCGGGAGAACATTTTATGCAGTTCCGATGAATATGGTAAGTAGCTGTTATTGTTATTGTTTTATTAATTGATTGAAATCATGAATTGATTGATTTTAGACAACCATTGAATATCTGGAAGCACTGAATGGCCGTTTTGTTCTAGTGTGGAACTCCTCCTAGGCAGTGCGCATCCACGATCCTGCCTCGCAGGTTTCGAACCCAAGAACCTACCAGTCTTGCGCGTGAACACTTAATGTCTAGACTATTGAACCAGCCGGCATCCAACAGTGTTAATGTCTAACTTCAACTAATCCACGAAATTGTGCGACCATCTTCCATTGTGCTGAGGTAGATACCTGTCTCTATCTGACATGGATTAGCTCTACTGGTCACGGATTCTTACTAGAACTCCGAGAATACCCTCACGTAACTAGTCACTAGTGAGCTAGATCACCATGGAAAACCTAGTGGCTTCAATTGACCCATAAATTCAACTACTAAATTACTATAATATCCACGAAGTCCCTCTTTCGTTATTGTTTGTTTTATTATTATTTCCCTTTTGAATTTAGATTACAAGTGAATAATATAATAGGTGAAGTGAATATTTCTTTTTTGTCGAATACAACTTTAAATACAAACTATGATCAGTTGAAGAATGATTAATTACCTGCTATTTTATATTTTGTGGATTGTTAGGTTAATATTGTATTCTATGAGCTGAATAGTTCCATCACACCATATCTTTAGCGGTTGTTTAAAAAAGAAGTTGATGATGATGATGAGAATGCTTTTTTGGACAGCATTTAAAGCGACACAATTAAATCATCCAGCTAATAGAATATAATCTCTATCATCACTAAATTATATTTTTTCATTATGTTGATAAAAATTTTAATGTATATGTTATTTTGTAATATTCTTTAATCATCCAGTATGACAATAACTTTTGCAGACAAATAATAAGCTTTTAGAAGTTCATTGTACATCAAAACATTATGCGATTTTATTTTGCATAAAACAGGAATTATGAAATCAATATACAAAAGATGACCTCCATAGACACATTTAATGACCATGTTAAGTTATTTAATTCCTTCTATTGTTTTCCTAGTTTATCGAACATGGAACAAATATCCACCTATTGTTTCATACTTGTCGGGACCGTTGAGAGGAATCACGTATAACTCTTTTGTGTCTTCATTGGTGAGAGACATATTTCGCTACAATGTGCGGTTGTAAATTTGATTTTTCTTGGTGGAAAAGACTACTACATTTGTAAAACTGTACCCGTCCTTTCTCCATAAGACTCTGTGAAAATCATTGTTATAACCCTGACTATCAGTTAGACAGGTCGCACTTTAAATTATTCACTATAGTGAAACTGTAGCATACTCCCAAAATAGAGACTCCGAAAACTGACTTTCAAAACTGGATATCATAAATCAATCGATATGTCGTTTCCGGCACTTTGGGTCGTGTTTCCGTTCATTTCGAGGATGGATGAATACTATAAATCAGAATATGATTTTCACCACAGACTACATTTCAAACTCCAACATTTATAATACATATGTGAACTGAAAATCACCGCGAGTGCTGGATACAACATACTGAATTAACGTTGAAAGAGTTGTGGCTGGTCTCAACCATGCTAAGTGGCATCAATTTTTTGAAGTTCGCTCAAACATTTGTCAACTGATTTGCCAGCACAAATGCAATTTCATTCCCTCTTAAAACCACTTATTGTAAAAACGATATCATTGGACTAATAGATACTATTGTTATTATAATTATAATCATAATTATTATTATTATTGTGTTGAAGAAAAGAATCGGCATCATTTCGCTGTGTTTCTGCACAATTGTAAACTGGTTGTATTGATACGTCGTGAACCAACCAATGAATTCACCCTATATTCTGATTCGTCTCAATTACTTCCATCTCAATGGCGTTTCGATGTCGACGAAGTATGCGATTCGAATTGGCATCATTATTCGTTGACCTATCGTCCACCAGAAACGACAATTGTAAATGGACAAAAGACACTTTCATCCAACTCAGAAAGTGATATTGAAGTCAGTATATTGTGTTCGTTTTTCATCGAGTATTCCTTTCATTTTGGTTGATTTTCCCATCTGAACAGGATTATAAACTTTGATCCCGAAATCGGTTAGACATGAAATCACCGTGACTAAAAGTTTGAATACAACACAAGTTAACTGTTATGGAAAGAAGACTTTATCGATTTGTGAAGCGATACTCTGTATCAGTTGTATTGTAACAACTAAATATTTAGGTTTCTTTGCATTAGTATTCTTCAACTAGAATTATGTAGAATCTTGAAGCAGACTGACTGATGTGAGTGCATCAACACAACTACTGAGTGTACAAGCACATAATTGATTACTACTCATGAATAAGTTTGCAGGTTGCTTGAGACTTGACAGTCTCTGACTAGATCATCGAGTAACACAAGTGTAAATGCAATGTCAGAGGATCATTGCTCTCAAGTTTACATATATGTCCTGTTGACTATTAGTCAGTGGGATAGAACGAAAATGCATGGACTCCTACTGATTCGGTCATACCAGTGAATTACTTAACGAAGTGACTACACTGATACAATAATAATAACACAATGGTAATTATAACTACGACATTGGTTACTACTAAACAGTTGATGATTGTTAAAATTTTTAGTTAATAAATCAATTCTTATTTAATAATGGATTATGAATCTCATTAGTGTATTCTCGCCGAAAAAGTCCAATAGTTTCAACTTATTTTCTGATGAACAAAATAGTTTTTCTTCATCAGTTCGTCTAATTTTCAGGAACTTATGTGTAAAATTATCACAACCAAATATTTTACTTTCGATAAGTGGATAACCCAATTACACAAGATGATACATGATTCTTGTGTCAACATAGATAAATGGATAATCATTAAGATTTTGTCAAGAACTTCATCTCTGTTTTTGGTCATTCACTTGTTTATTACTGGACCACTACTCTTTGTTATAATTTTAGGTAGTTACTTAGTATAGTGATCTTCTAAGGTCATTTATCGGAGCTTATATCGTCCTTAACTTGGATTCTCTGTAGTTTGGGAATATTGTATATATAGGTAAGTGCTCACTCTTGGAGATGAAACTCGTGATTTCTATCTTTGATTAAGTTATACATTAAAATATCGAAGAGTCTTGGATTAGTATAAAAATATTTATTTACTACTTTTTTAGTTTACAGTAGTAATCCTAGCCGAACTGTTATTAATTACACCGTTACGAAAACCACTCGGATATGCTATCGAGTTCGTCTTTCAATACAAGATACAAAATTATTTGCTTAGTTATCACATTCATTTTGGTAACCTTGATCATGTTGTGACTTATTGCCCTGTCCATATCACGTGACAAAAACCGCCAATCAGAATGTCGACTTCCATGATCTTGTCTATGAGCTAACTAATAACTCTCCAACTAGCACTGGTAGCCTTGATTCAACTCTAAAACACTATCAGTCCTCGATACACTAGTTCTCCTCTTTCCTCGTCTGTTGAGTTCAGAACACAGTATCAACCCCCGTTATGTATGAACCATATATTTCAGACGTACATAGTTAATATACAAGCAGATCAGGCTGCATCACATCATCACATGAAAAATAACAATTCTACAAGATCAAGCCAAACGTGTCTGCGATATAGAAGACTATTACTAATGGAATGGGAACAAATCAAGTGGTAAATCACATATTAGTAGTTAATGTGTCAAATGAAAGCTTATGATAAAAGAAATATGAACACATTTCACCTAGTTACGTAATAATTATACAATAATATATATAATAACAGTCCATAAATAATTCCTAGAAGGTACCATGTATTTAATCTTCAATGGATGTAACAGGTCAAATTACTGACGCATTATGAGTAGTTCCTGATTGTAGGTAGATCAGAATGTATCAGTTTTGTCATGTGTTTCATCATGTGAAAGGAGTAGACTGTTTTGAAGTTCTGTATTGCAAAATGTCCTGGCAGACTGATCAAATTTTTATATTATCTATTTTTCTACAGCGCAAATCTTGTAAAAGGTCTTTCATCTGCTAATTAATTATGTATCTTAACTGCCTAATTATGTCAATTGGTTTAACGCATATGTAAAAACGTACAAGCTATCACGAAGCTAAATACTACAACAGTTTAACGGAACTGCCAAAGTGTTTAGTGTATTTTCTTTCTTCTGCGTTCTTTAAACAAATAAGATGCTATTACATTAGGTCTCATTCATTAAATATGCATTATGTAATGTAAAATGTGTCATAGGAACAAAATTAGTTGTAAACGTTTATATAAGAAGAGTAATTGCCACCAATCACTGTTTAAATAGATTTATTGTGAGCACTTACGAGTTAAACAAATAAACAATAAGAACAGGTTGTCATATTGTTATATTTATATCGATAATTATTTACTGTAACCAAACAAATAATACTTAGTAAATGGATGATCCATGTAAAATCAGTCAATGAGTTATTATCCACATAGAAGGCGGCGCGAAAGTGAATCAGCCCAGGTCGTCACTTACCTCAAAGTAATTCAGGTAATATTGATATCAACAATATTGACTGGATATAGGAGAATGCGGTTCGAAGAGAAGAGATTCATCCGGCCAATAAATAGTATGAATTAATGTTGAAGAATGCATGTATCTACTCCACCGTGATTGAGTTTGAACTATGCTATTCGAAAATCTCCAACCAACTAATCGAAGTTATTAAATGACCCTAACTAGGTAATTTGCATCTTTAAATACTGCTCACCTAACAGTCAGAGCTTTCATTAACTAATGTCATTTGGTGCTTTGTCCATTTCTAGTTTTTTGTTAACCTACTCCTACACCAACAGGCATAACATGTAGACGTAGGTGGTGGTTAAGCATATGTAATACAAGTTCCAGCGAACTTACTTGATGAAGGTCCACAACCTCAATAATTAATTTTGAATATTTCACTAGTAGCTTATGTCTAAATTTAGCATTGTTCACCTAATCGTACCATAAAATAGAAGCATGGTCTCGAATACATCTGTGGTCAATCACTTTTAGTCTATGTTTCTCTTCTTCTATGAACTATGCTTCACTGACATACAGAAACATATAGCAGACCACTAAACGATATACTTATCTTTCGGTTGGAAAACCAGCATCTCTTCCATAAATGTGATCTAAATCAACAAAAACCAACTGACCCTACTTAACCCGTGCTAATACCTCACCAGACATCGGGGTTTTTATAGAACTGTCGACTAACAGGACGCTATTATTTACACATTCCCAATGTATGAGGAGAGTATACACTTGTGGTTTCCAACTTAAATGGCAGTTTTCCACAAGCTGTAAGACAGCAATTGTATTTTAGCGAAGAGGCTTTAAAAACCTTAAATATCTCTCTGATGCATCCTCAAGTTACAAGTGCTATCAAAAACTCCCCGATCGACGGAGCGAAATGCCGAAATTACCTTGGCAAACAAGATTACATTCGGGTGTCGGTATGTGTTTTTGTTTTAAGACCTGTCAAATTTTACAAATCTAGTCAATACATCCTCTTATAGGTCATAAAACAGCTTGTTTCATACAGGTTTGGTCACCTTGACTACCATTTGGTGTTGACTGATTATATAGATTAACATTTGGGTACCGCATTAGTTTAGTCAAAATAACTATTCCGTATCTGTCACAAAGGCTTCTTGATCCTTTGATATAGACTGAGACTATCATCAATCAAGACCACTCAGATCACATCCTTCTTTCAGATCTTAGCTAATGTTTTGGTTAGCTCAACTACTAACACCAAATCACCATTCCTAAAGAACTCTAGAGTTAAACTATCATATATATATATATATATATATATATATATATATATATATATATATATCGACTAAGATGGTTGGGCCACCTGTTTCGTATGCCTGAACACCGATCACGACAAAACACAATGCCAACTGTTGTTGGAGACAGCTATAAAAAAGTTAAAGTCAGCCAAGTCAAAACGTGGCATCAGTCATTGAAGTTACTAATTTCTGGTCTGAGCCATGTTGGTAGATGCAGGCTACTTCATTGGGGTCTGCGCGACTGTCGTAAACAATGGTTGGAGACTCTGTGTGACATGGCTCAGAATCGACCACAATGACGTCAGTGTATACACTCTTTATCTTCCCTTAAACTGTGAGATTAAAATTATTTTACACATTTCTAATTCTTTCTTTGTGTACTATAACCTTATAAACAATCTATTGCGCATTACTACCATTGAAGTGACTGTTTCAATGAATTTGGTGTTCATCTTGTTGTGCTAATGAGGCAACTTGGATCGATGCATATATATGCCTGGTCCTACGTTGTAGTTGACTGATATATATATATCAGTCAGTCAGTCAGCTACAACGTAGGACCAGGCACATATGTGCATCGGCCCAGGTTGCCATACCTCATTAGCACAGCAAGATGAACACCGGATTCATAAAAGTAGTTAATTCAGAGGTGGTAATATATAGGAGAAGGATTGCCAGAAGGATATAGTATAGGAAGAAAGAATTAGTTCGTAGAAAGAAAGATATGAAGTGATTTTAATCTCTTAGTTTAAGGGCAGACAGGGAGTGTATACACCGACGCCATTGTGATCGATTCTGAGCCATGTCACCAAGAGTCTCCAACCATTGGTTACGAAAGTCACGCGGACCCCAACCAAGTAGTCTGCATCTACCAACATGGCTCAGACTAGAAGTTAGTGACTTCAGGCACTGATGCCACGTTTTGGTTTGGCCGCCCCTAACTTTCTTCCAACCATCCCCTACACCGGTTAGCATTGCACGTCGTGGTAATCGGTGTTCGGGCATACGTAACACGTGGCCCAACCATCTCAGTCGATGAAGATTCATAACCTCATCAACTGACTTACCATCATTCCCTAATGCCCTGCGTCTAACCTCACTATTACTTACCCGGTGATCCCAGCAGATGCCAGCAATATTTCTAAGGCATCTGTGGTCAAATACTAGTAGCTTACGGGTGTCTTCTACTCTTAAGGGCCATGTTTCGCTGCCGTAAATTAAAACAGAACGAACTGCCGCGCAGTATACTCGTCCTTTTATTGATAGACGGATATCTCGCCTCCGCCAAAGGTGACGTAAGTTGGCAAAAGCCAAACGAACTTTTCGAATCCGTGCTGAGATTTCGTCAGACACCAACCCATTAGGGTTGATCAGACTTCCAAGATAAGTGAAGTTGTCAACGCGTTCGACTACTTCACTCCCTATCCTTAGTTCAGGTGTTGACGCAGACCAGTCCTGAAGCAACAACTTGCATTTAGAGGGAGAGAAGCGCATCCCAAACATTCTGGCATTGTTGCTTAGTGCTACCAGAAGACTCTGTATTTTGTCAGCGTCTTCACCAAACAGGACTATGTCATCTGCGTATTCTAAGTCGATAAGTGGACCTCCTGGAAGGAGATCAATACCCGAGAATTCAGTCGACGAGAGTGTTATTTCCATCAATAGGTCTATGATGAAGTTAAACAAAAATGGAGAAAGTGGGCAACCTTGACGGACACCACTTGAGGTTGCAAAAGTAGATGACAGTTCGCCATAAGCCCTGACTCGACTAGTAGTGTTCGAGTAAAGAGCCTTCACAAGGTTTATGTACTTCTGAGGTACGCCTTTCAATGACAGACACTGCCACAGAGTCTCGCGGTCTACAGAGTCAAATGCTGCTTTCAAGTCAAGAAAGACCACCATCGTCGGACGCCGATAGGTATGCCTGTGTTCTAGAACCTGACGAATGGTGAATATGTGGTCGATGCAGCCACGACCAGGTCTGAAGCCAGCTTGAGTCTCTCGGGTTTGCAGTTCACGAGTCTTAGTTAGGCGTTTGATAATTATCGAGGCCAGTATTTTAGATACTATGTTTGTTAAACTAATCCCTCTGTGGTTGTCACAGGATGATTTTGACCCTTTCTTATATATTGGGACGATAAGTGATTGCGACCAGTCAGATGGGATAAAGTCTAATTCCCAGATCTTAGCTAAAATATTAGTCAACCTAGTCGCTAAAATTGGACCACCATCCTTAAAGACCTCTGGAGCCAATCCATCTGGACCAGCTGCCCTTCCTCGTTTCAGATTAACTATAGCCTTCTCAACTTCAGCAAGAGTTGGGGGACCTACTTCAATGTTCCATTCACATTGTCTAGGAATGGAGGGTAATTGTAGAGTAGCTGAAGGCCAGCTGAACTGTTCTCTAAAATGTTCCGCCCATCGTTCTAAACGTATGGATTAGGAGCAGATGAGAGTATCATCTTTTTCCGAAATAATCTCACTTACACTTGACTTATTAATTCCAGTTTCTTTTATTAGTCTGTAAAGCTGTCTTGTGTTCCCTATAGTCGCCGCCTTTTCCATCTCTTTTGCTTTCGTTACCCACCACTGCTCACGGTCGTTCCTTAGACTTTTTCTTAACCTAGATCTGATTTCTTTACGCTCTTCATCATGTTCAGAACTTGATGGGACGAGTTTGCGAGAATCCATCAGTGTGACAGACCTTGAAGAAATCCACTGGTTCCTTGCAACTCTGTGGTTTAAGTCACTAATAGATGTCACTGCTGTTTCCACAGCTAATTGTATGCCCTTCCAAGCAACATCTGGGTCAGCCTCGTCTTCACAACTACCTAAGTGTGACCTCAGTTGTTCCTGGAACCTACTTTTGGTTTTCTCGTTACTCAACTCAGTTCTAACGAGTCTTTTTAATGTGGCTTTTTTGCGTCCAGTGAGGCGCAAGCAGATGCGTGCCCGTAGTAGGGCATGGTCGGAGTCCAAGCAGGTACTCCAGAATGAGCGACAATCTTCTACCGACCCTCTCCAACGATGACTGATGGCAATATGGTCTATTTGAGTCCATCGTTGGTTTGGTGTAGGGGGTCGCCATGTTAGACGATATCTCTCCTTATGCTTAAAATTTGTGTTTGCTAAAAATAAACGATTGTCTGAGCATAGCTGCAGCAGACGATCACCATTATCTGTTCGCTGTGTCGGAATACTAAAATATCCACATAAATGCCTTTCTGTTTGGTTTAAACTGCCTATCTGAGCATTAAAATCACCGGCTACGAGTACTATGTCTGAGCGTTTAGCTTTCTGAAGAAGTTCGGACAGCTTTCTGTAAAATTCATCTTTCACTTCATCTGAGCTGCAGTCAGTGGGAGCGTAGGCAGAAACGACAAAAAGGCAACGACGTGTGTCCCTATCCTTCCGAATTCTTACGTAGCCGTTCAGCCGAACAGCACATAGACGACTGTTGACGGGGATCCACTCTAGCAGTGCTTGTTCGGCCCTCATGCTTAGTGCTAAGTCCACATCTGCCAGTTCACGAGAACTGGCCGTCGGGTCACCAGATACACGGAGGGTGTATCTCGTTGGCTCTCCGTTTTGCCGAGGTGAGGTCAAGTGAATGACCACACTGGAATCCTGTATGCATGTTTCAGAGGCACAGCATACATCAGTGACACGAGATTCTAGGTTTTTAGCCAGGGAAGCCTACTGACCGATTTGACATAGGGTGCGTACGTTGAAGGCTCCAATGTGTAGTTTGGAGCGAGGTTTCAGTAGACCTAGGACAGTGTTTTGCGCACTAGAATCGTTGGCTATGGTGACACTTGAGGTGGAAGCCGAGAGAGGAAATTTAGAGTTGAAAGTCGATATAGGAGGAATAATAGGAATTGAAGAGGGAGGTTGATTACGAATACAGTGGTCTTGAGTGCTGTTAGAGGTATGAGGGCGGTTATCACTTCCCGGTTGCCCACACCGTGGAAGGGTTGTTCTGGAGGTACCTGAAAAGGAGATTGGATTAAAGGTGGTCTTAGTGACCTGAGAGCGTGACCGCAGTGCCCAAGGAACAACTGCTTGAGGTCGGTCACACACGACCTTGTTATGGGTAATTTTTGTGTTAGCTCCGTACTTATTGAGACCTTACCACCGGAGACGGATATCCGTGGGATAAGGCGAGGTGTGCATTTTTAGGGTCGACCTTTTCTAACCCCACCCCTCCTTGTGGGAAGGCAGCATCGCTGTCATGCTGGTTGTCTGAAGGAAACACCTTACTGCTGTCACACCTCTGTACAGTCAGCAATACGACTTCGCCTTCGGACCTTGGGTTTGTTGCTTTTAGTCTTACCGCTCTTCAACCGACCTGTCTGACATGGTAGGACCTTGAGGAACGGTTGTTCCAGCCAGTATAGCTCGGTTGCTTCATCACGATAGGCAAGCCCGACCACCACGTCAAGGTAGCAACAACGGTCGGGGATATATATATATATATATATATATGCTTTTGGGAAATGACAAAACTATTAGTCATTATCACTGCCATAATATCTTCTCTGTTGTTTATTTAGTTACAATTATATTTGGATGGAAGATTAGTACCAAATAATCCTGAACTGGTGCAAATTGCTGAAAATATGCCTATGGTACATTTATCTGTTAAAAATCATGAATTTGTTCGTACTTCAGTTGGCGCTTGTTAGCATGGACGTAGTGCTCAATTCGCTCAACATTTTGTCGTAGGTCTTTTATTTGTCATTATTATTGTTTTTCAAAATCTATTGGTTTATTTTCATTGCTTGATGCAGTCAGTACATGATCAACAACGTAGAAACTGGCATAACCAGACATCAACTCAATTTCCTACAAATCGAATTAATGTAGTGAAAAAAATACTTTGTCGAACTTGATTCCAAAATTTGATAATCAAGTATGTTGAAAGAGAAAGAAATAGGTAGATGTTTAGTGGAACATAAACTATGTATGCTTGGCTCGACGTATTCAGTAGTGGTTGTTCGTTTTCTTTAAAATGCAACGCTAATGTTCGCTGACAGTCTGAAATAAAGGGTTAAGGAAGAAAAGTATGTTGAAATCATTCACGCGAAACTAATGAACTTTCAGAATCATTGTTCTGTAAACTAAATTCTCTAGCACCGGTTACATATGGACAAAGACTGGCGAAAAAACGTGAATAGTGCCATAATTTTATTCACTCTATTGTTACCATCGTAAACTTTTGGAGCAAGGGAAGAGGCATTGTTCACAGTATCAACATTATATAATCTCTCTTTTTGATTATAGAAAAGCAATATCACTTAAAATGCTGCTTATCAAAGGGAAATTCTTTGTTACTATGATATTGTGATGGAGTTAGCTATACAATTTCCTCTCTAATCTTAGTTCACCCGATAAAGTTCTATTAGATCATCATGAGTGTTGTTTTAATGATATAAAAGTAATATGCAACATACACCAAATTAGCCGGACAACAACGGATTATTATTCTATTCCGGTTTAAAACATCTTGACAATACACGGCTCTTCGATGAAACAAATGAAAAGAAAGCCTAATATCTTCAGTGGTTTTCTGGCAAAACGATAATACTCATTCAAAAATAAGCGATTTCTAGTAAAAAGGATTATGTAGGTCACTTGTTAATCAGTGAAATAATGGCCCTACTTTCACGATAGCCAACGTAGTTACGTTTATTATTATTATTATTATTATTATTATTATTATTATTATTATTATTATTATTATTATTATTATTATTATTACTGAATGCTATTGATGCACATAATGTCTTATTTTCACCATTGAAAATACATAAACAAGGGTTATCTTGCTGGTTTAACCTTTACAAATGGATATATTCAATCAGATGAGGAAATACTTTGTCTGACCAACTGTGAACCACGTCTAATTATCAACGATCCAACATCAATCAGTTCAAACACTAATCGTTTCGATACAACAAATATTCGTAATTCTCATTTGAATAGTATCATTATTCAAGCTAAAAGTTTAAATGAATTATCGAAAATTCTAAGAAATGTGACATTTTACAATCCAAGACTACAATATAAACCACGATATCGACCGGAACCAGTGGCTATACAATTAAATACTTTGTTTGCGTAAGTAATTTATGTAGACATCGGGATATATAGTGTTCTTTAATTTTTGGTGGAGTTTCGTTCTCTCAGAGAATTGGTTTAATCGTAAAACTTTGATTGTTCTTCTGAACAATATCATCAGCTCAGTGGTTTAGAAGCTAGACGTTTGTACAGGAGATCGCAGGTCCTGGGTTCGGTTCCCTCGTGCGGGATTGTTGATACGCAATTATAATGAGTTCCATACCAGAAGGAAACGTTCGTCTAGTGCCTTCAGGTTTCATTGATTGTATAACTTCTATCGGCTTAGATTTAAAAGAATCGAGATATTCTAACTTCTCCGTATATGAATAACAGCTTTCACTGTTGGCCTTGATCATTAGCACTGATTGATTGACTTTTACCTTGTCGTTATATGTAAAGTAATTTTGATTGCTTCCCCCATTAACTTGACCCCTGTTTTATATATTTGTCCATGATTTTTGTCATTAATTGATTAATTAGGTCGATCCCGATGTATTGATTGAGTGCTAGCTGAGGTTTTTACCACGCTTCTAAAAATTACCTGACCATTTTAATATCCCCTTTATCAAAACCTTCAACATTTTCTCAGCCAGATGTGTATCCGTAATTGTTCACGTGGATTAATGTGAGCGAAGACACCCTATAGGGTTTGACAAGTAGTTGGCGTCTTTACATAGAAGGCATCCACTTTGTCCAATGTAATGTTTTAATTGTCGGATTGAAATTATGTTTTTGTTCGCTAACTAATGAGTTCTAGTAGACCTTGACCTTTTGTAGTTTGGAAGATTTTTCTCATTAGTGAGAAGCAGGTATAAAGTGTCCTTTAACGGATTTTCGTTTCATCAAGGTGAATTGTAGCGTAATTATTTATTTTCCTACTTAAATTATTGAATCGTAACACATTATTCATGAAACAGTCAGTTATCTTTAGAAAGGTTGAGTAATACTCCTAAGTGATTTCAAATTGCACGGTAGCAAAGAAAAAAAAATCGATCAAAAGAAGAATAAAAGTAAAATAAAGGAATACTTATTAGCATAAAAGATTTGAGTAGGTTGTTCTACTTTTACATTTGACTAAGGACTGAATTTATTTATGAACGACTATTGAAAATCAAAAGGCACACAGCCGCTGCTTCAACCTACTGTATGGAAATACTTAGTGTAGTGAAGAAGAACACGGGTGGGGACAGTCGATTGTATTTAGCACAAAAATTACAGACTATCTCAATAAAATGTGAATACCATAAAGTCAATCGTCAATTTGCAAAATATCATTCCATCATATCAAACTGTACTGTTCCCGTTGCAAACACTAATCCATTGTCGCCCATTCCATTGTACATGCGTTTTCTTACAATTCCATTGTGCTCTTGCTCTTCCTTTCTTGATCTTCGCCATCTTCTGCTGCCGGACATTACGTTCTTTTAATGCACGTTATATACTACTTATATGAATATAAGTAGCTCACACCACACTTAGTAATCCTTACTTACGACCTAAACATAAATCTTCAGGTGTTGCTGAATATACTATTTCTAGACTATTGGGTTGGTACTATAAGAAGTGATTTGTGTGCATGATCAATCAGATTACAATAGGAACATAAATATGTTAACTTCTCAAATTCACCGAAGATGTTGATTGAATAAATCTATTTTGAATGTATCCGAACTTTTAGGGAAAGTTTCAAAAGAGAATTAGTGATACCGTTTCGTAATTTTAAATAAGTATATTACTTATTTCAGCAGTTATTAGTGTTATTTTATGCTATTTTGTTTCACTCTATTCATAGCTATGCAACAGATTGTGAAATGCCCTCAACATTTAATCAAGTAATTCTAATTAGTCCATTACCTCCAACTAAACAAACATTAATTTTACTTGATACATTGAATTCAAATATTCGTACGGATCGATACCTTCATAGGCGGTACCATAGTCATAATCAACCAAATCACGGTTATCAGCAATCGAATGTTCATCAAACGACAGAAAAACAACAACAATTCCATGAGTATGAACAGAAACATGAAAAAGAGATCCCTGAAAAACTGTCTACCATTAAGTTACCAGCTTCTACTCAACTAAACCAATCGATACGTCAGTCATTCGATGAAATATCAACATCATCATCAATCAGTTCACTAGTACTGTTTAATACAGAACAATATGAACATATGAACAAGACATTCACATCGAGAAATGTCACATTAAGTAGTTTATCTACTGGAGTCTATATATTTCCATACATAACAATCATGTGGAAGACCCCATTGGAACTGTTGAATTCACATAATACATGTAAGAAGAAATAGTATCATATTTGAGAACTTTTTGTATAATAGATTATTTTTTTCGACGTACTATGTGCTCAATATTTCAACACGACTAAATACCCTTTGTTGCTCTTTTTGGGACGATAGTTAGGATTAAACATCATTGAGAAAATCATTTCGAGGAAGAAGGTGCATCAAGCTATTAAGCCCCAAACAGGACGAAACTCACTTCTGAGATGACATTATTAAACACTATCTAAAACATATAATTAACTTGTGATTGCAGTCATTGCATCGAAACATTCATTCAAGTTTCCCGTATATGAATATATTCTGATTAGATTTAATCATGACCGTCAACAACGAGAAATTACAAACTGCTACGAACAAGAACATCAAAATGTCGTCACGTTTATATTTACCACTCTGTTTAATCCATCAATAAATCCACTACTACTAACGTGTACACATTTTGAAGTAATCACTTTGATATCTGATTTTACTAACCACAACTCAGTAATCAAGCACTGGTTTACGTATTTAGTGACTTTAAGAGACTGTTTTGTTGTGTAGGACAATCTATTCAGTGTGAGGCAACTACCCACCGAAGGCAGTGGAAGATGGTTATGCAATGTTGTGAACTGACTAAAGTTAAGCAGTAACACCATTAGATGTCGGATCAGTGGTTTGGAGGTTAGGCGTCCACGTGAAACGTCATTCCAGTGCTTCCAGGTTTTCAATCGTAGTCCAACTTAGATCAATTCATAATTTTGATGAAATTCAGAAATCTCCACAACCCCTAAATGTAAAAACTTACTCAATGTTCCAATGACCCAATTAGGTGAGATTTGGATGAACAATTGTTTCAAGGTAGAATGACGTAAACACTGGGTTACCGCTGTTTGTAGGACCGTTTAAGAGACATCAATGAGTCATTTTTCAACTACTTTAAACCGAGTAGAGCTTAATAATAAATTCGTTGAGAATATATCCCTTTGCTGAACTTTAGGTTTTTTAATACTTAAATGGGAATTATATGTTAATTAATGATAGACGATTCTCACACACAGCTTATCTCGGTATCATTATGCAACATCTCAATTTGTGAAACAGGTGCATCATCAAATTAACAGAAAATAACCAGGATTAAAATAAAACAAGTCGAAATAGTAGTTCTAGTAGTTATAGATCACTGGGTCATTGGACTGAACTTACTAAAACACAGATATGATGATATTTATTTAATTTTAATTTCCCATTACTTCATTACATTTTAATAATTCCACATTTAATATAAATCTCTCGACAAAACAGTTTTCATCAGTATGGGGTTGTGGGAATTATTAAGTTTTTGATTGAGATCATGAACCAATTGATGTTAAACGAAACGTCTATCCAGTGCTTCCAAGTTTTCAATGGTGATCTAACATCAATCGGTTCATGATCTTAAAAACAAAAACAGTTTTCATGTTAGTAAATAAGTCAAATTATTTATCTTGTTGAAAACAAGCTTTTCCAAACAGTTACATGATTATAGATAAGTGAAAAAGAACATATCCAACCCCCTTCACCTAGAAACAAAATAATCATCCTGTCAATATGTATTGTAGAAATCAATTAATTGATAGACCAATACATTTGTATATCACTGTAGTAATATGTAAAGCAAAGTTATTCCCGATTTTTTATAAATACAGGATGTTGGCGAATCGTCTCGTGGTCGGATTATCAATGATAACAGTAGTTCCCAACTGCAACATTTAATGATCTACGCAGTCGTGGGTTGATAGTTGGACTATTCGGGCTGAGACTATTAATTTACAGGCTTGCACTCTCCTATACCTATTACTTTTCAGGTAAGACAACTATTATTATCAGTATTCATACAAAATCAGCTACTCAGTAAAATCCACGAACATACACATTATGAATTGCACATAGTATGAGTTCTGGGAATTAGACTTTATCCCATCTGACTGGTCGCAATCACTTATCGTCCCAATATATAAGAAAGGTTCAAAATCATCCTGTGACAACCACAGTGGGATTAGTTTAACAAACATAGTATCTAAAATACTGGCCTCGATAATTATCAAACGCCTAACTAAGACTCGTGAACTGCAAACACGATAGAATCAAGCTGGCTTCAGACCTGGTCGTGGCTGCATCGACCACATATTCACCATTCGTCAGGTTCTAGAACACAGGCATACCTATCGGAGTCCGACGATGGTGGTCTTTCTTGACTTACAAGCAGCATTTGACTCTGTGGCAGTGTCTGTCATTGAAAGGCGTACCTCAGAAGTACATAAACCTTGTAAAGGCTCTTTACTCAAACACTACTAGTCGAGTCAGGGCTTATGGCGAATCGTCATCTACTTTTGCAACCTCAAGTGGTGTCCGTCAAGGCTGCCCACTTTCTCCATTTTTGTTTAACTTCATCATAGACCTATTGATGGAAATAACACTCTCGTCGACTGAATTCTCGGGTATTGATCTCCTTCCAGGAGGTCCACTTATCGACTTAGAATACGCAGATGACATAGTCCTGTTTGGTGAAGACGCTGACAAAATACAGAGTCTTCTGGTAGCACTAAGCAACAATGCCAGAATGTTTGGGATGCGCTTCTCTCCCTCTAAATGCAAGTTGTTGCTTCAGGACTGGTCTGCGTCAACACCTGAACTAAGGATAGGGAGTGAAGTAGTCGAACGCGTTGACAACTTCACTTATCTTGGAAGTCTGATCAGCCCTAATGGGTTGGTGTCTGACAAAATCTCAGCACGGATTCGAAAAGTTCGTTTGGCTTTTGCCAACTTACGTCACCTTTGGCGGAGGCGAGATATCCGTCTATCAATAAAAGGACGAGTATACTGCGCGGCAGTTCGTTCTGTTTTAATTTACGGCAGCGAAACATGGCCCTTAAGAGTAGAAGACACCCGTAAGCTACTAGTATTTGACCACAGATGCCTTAGAAATATTGCTGGCATCTGCTGGGATCACCGGGTAAGTAATAGTGAGGTTAGACGCAGGGCATTAGGGAATGATGGTAAGTCAGTTGATGAGGTTATGAATCTTCATCGACTGAGATGGTTGGGCCACGTGTTACGTATGCCCGAACACCGATTACCACGACGTGCAATGCTAACCGGTGTAGGGGATGGTTGGAAGAAAGTTAGGGGCGGCCAAACCAAAACGTGGCATCAGTGCCTGAAGTCACTAACTTCTAGTCTGAGCCATGTTGGTAGATGCAGACTACTTGGTTGGGGTCCGCGTGACTTTCGTAACCAATGGTTGGAGACTCTTGGTGACATGGCTCAGAATCGATCACAATGGCGTCAGTGTATACACTCCCTGTCTTCCCTTGAACTAAGAGATTAAAATCACTTCATATCTTTCTTTCTACGAACTAATTCTTTCTTCCTATACTATATCCTTCTGGCAATCCTTCTCCTATATATTACCACCTCTGAATTAACTACTTTTATGAATCCGGTGTTCATCTTGCTGTGCTAATGAGGTATGGCAACCTGGGCCGATGCACATATTTGCCTGGTCCTACGTTGTAGCTGACTGACTGACTGACTGAGTATGAGTTTATGAAAATTGTGATTATTGCAAAAAACCTTGGGCAAAGTGACATATGATCAGTGTCAAGGATATTAATGTCTTAAGTACTTTATTATTATTTGAACACATGGATATTGGTACAAGAAGGTACCAAATACATATGCGCCACACGAATCTCATTTGATGTGCAAGGGCTGTGATACTGTCCGGGTGCCCAAACCGAAGCAGGTGGTTTTCTTAGGGGACCACACCCGGAGCCTTCGACCTAAAGGTCTGATCCACAAGGCAGTGAGGCATCGTGAGGAGATGCAGTCCCATGGTAGCCGATGACCAACGATTGGTTTATATGCCATTTGTTCTTTCAGGATACTGGAGCCCATGTGCACCATTGGTTTGAAATTAGGGTTTCCCAACTCCATTAGGTGTACTCTCCATACCCACCAACCTGGTTATAGCGCCAAATATTCGCTTTTCGTCCTCTTAGTTTCGTAAACAACAGTAATGCCGTGATGAGACAGTTAGGAGGACTTCCCTGGCAGTGGTTGTATGCACGTGAGAGCATTTCGAGAGGGAGAGTTGACTCTCCCTACTCTCGGCCGTACGAGGGCATTTGGGCGTTGGTTTGTATTAGTTCAGAAATACGCTAATAAGGAATCACAATGATGGAAGATTTGGACTTCACGAATTTAAAGAAACAGCTACACATTAATTGACCAAACTACAAAATTAAGTGTAAAAAAGAACTACTTGGGACTATTTACGCAGTCAGTCAAAATACATTTATAGGTAGACATATGACAACAAACCACTCGAAAGGAACAAAAAAAATATTGAATCATACGCTTGTCTTGAAGGAAATGGGAAACGCAATCAGGCCGAGACCAACAAATATCACATAGTAAACAAATAGTTATTTTTTTGAAATCATTCGGTTATCGGATCAGAATGCCATCCTTATATGTTGAATGATTTCGAATATAGCTGAAACCAATAGTCAGTTTTGAAGAGCAATTACCTGAACCACAAACAACGAAAACAATTAAACCCAAAATACATGTATTCATATTGGACTGCGAGTCAGAGGATTTCTTTACAAGTTTTAACGAGCCAGGTGAATTACCAGTGACTTAGGAACATTGCCACGGTTGACTATATTACCGTGAGCCTTCCCATTTTGTACTTTCATTCGCTGACTAGCAGACACCTTACCGTGGCGTAATACTTCGAAAGAGTGCACTGCCAACTGAAAATCAACATACTGCTATTTGATTTTTAAAAACAAGAGAAGTGAACTTCAATGTCACAGCAACCTATTTAGAAAACTGGATGCAGAGACAGAGTATATAAAATGAAAGTATCTCGGGATATTCCTGCCGCAAATGGTTGTGAGTAACCATGATCATTACCAAAAGGTCAACAGGAATGAACAAAACAATGGAAGTAAATGTAATGAGGGCATAGTTCAATCTAA